AGTGAGTGTGTGAGTGAGAGTGAGTGTGTGTGAGAGTGTGTGAGAGTGAGGTGAGTGTGGTGAGTGGTGTGTGTGTGAGAGTGAGTGAGAGTGTGTGAGTGAGTGTGTGAGTGAGAGTGAGTGTGTGAGTGAGAGTGTGTGAGAGTGTGTGTGTGAGTGAGTGAGAGTGAGTGTGTGAGTGAGTGTGTGTGTGAGTGTGTGAGTGAGTGAGAGTGTGGGTGTGAGAGTGTGAGTGAGAGTGTGTGAGTGAGTGTGTGAGAGTGAGTGAGTGAGTGTGTGAGTGTGTGAGTGAGTGTGTGCGTGAGTGAGTGTGTGAGTGAGTGAGTGTGTGAGTGAGTGTGTGTGAGTGTGTATGTGAGTGAGAGAGTGTGTGAGTGAGTGTGTGAGTGTGTGAGCGTGAGTGTGTGTGTGAATATGTGAGTGTGTGAGTGAGTGTGTGAGCGAGTGGTGAGTGTGTGAGTGAGTGGTGAGGGTGTGAGTGAGTGTGTGAGCATGAGTGTGTGAGCGAGTGGTGAGTGTGTGAGTGAGTGTGTGAGGGGGTGAGTGAGTGTGTGAGTGAGTGTGTGAGTGAGTATGTGAGTGTGTGTGTGAGTATGTGAGTGAGTATGTGAGTGTGTGTGTGAGTGTGTGAGTCAGTATGAGTGAGTGTGTGCACCTGGCCTGGCACAGACACCGCTGGCAGATCTCAACTCAACAACAACAACGACCGCTGGCGGCTGGGCCCGAGACATGGCGAGACATGGCGAGTCTCGGCTCAGCAGCAGCTGCAGCCAACTTGCGTGAGACACGAGAGAGAGACACGAGAGGGACACACGAGAGAGACACGAGAGAGACTTTGACTTGAGTGAGTGTGAGAGACACGAGAGACACGAGAGAGACACGAGAGTGAGATACACGAGTGAGAGACACGAGAGAGACACGAGTAGAGACACGAGAGGGACACACGAGAGAGACTTTGACTTGAGTGAGTGTGAGAGACACGAGAGAGAGAGACACGAGTGAGAGACACGAGAGGGACACACGAGAGAGACACGCGAGAGAGACACACGAGAGAGAGACACGAGAGAGACTTTGACTTGAGCGAGAGACGCGAGTGAGTGAGAGAGACACACGAGAGAGAGACACACGAGAGGGACACACGAGAGAGAGACTTTGACTTGAGTGAGAGACGCGAGAGAGTGAGTGAGAGAGACACACGAAACAGAGACACACGAGAGAGACACACGAGAGAGAGACACACGAGAGAGAGACACACACGCGGGGTGTGTGTGAGACTCTGACCTTCTCGTACACTTTGATCCCGTCCTCGCCGTGCCCGTGCTCGCCGCCGGGGCTGTGCTGCAGCGCCTGCCCCACCAGCGAGCTCGTCGTCTTGTTGTGCGCGGTGCTGGACACGCACCTCGCCGCCTGCTGCTGCTGATGCATCCTGCTGCTGCTGCTGCTACTGCTGCAGATGAAGACGCGGGGCCCGCCAACAGCAGCCGTGCCCCAGGCGGCCCGGAGCAGCCCAGCCTCCCGATCGATGCGGCTGCTGCCGCCGCTGCTGCCGCTGCTGCCATGTTCATCACCAACAACCTCCTCGTCCTCCGCCGTGACCTCTTGCCGGCTCCCGTAGCGCACCACGTGGGCTCAAGGCGCCGGTGACGTGCGCACGCGGTACGGCCATCTTGGATAGGGGTGGGGGGTGGCTAGAGACGGTGATGTGACCTGCAGAGTGGCCATGTTGGGTAGGGGTGTGTTGATGGGGGGGAGACGATGTGGCCATGTTGGGTAGGGGGGGTGTTGATTGGGGGGGGGGGGGGGGAGACGATGTGACCTGCAGAGTGGCCATGTTGGGTAGGGGGGTGTTGATGGGGGGAGACGATGTGGCCATGTTGGGTAGGGGGGTGTTGATGGGGGGAGACGATGTGGCCATGTTGGGTAGGGGGGGTGTTGATGGAGAGAAGAGACGACGATGTGACCTGCAGAGTGGCCATGGGTAGGGGTGTGTTGATGGGGGGAGACGATGTGGCCATGTTGGGTAGGGGGGGTGTTGATGGGGGGGGGGGGGGAGACGATGTGACCTGCAGAGTGGCCATGTTGGGTAGGGGGGTGTTGATGGGGGGAGACGATGTGGCCATGTTGGGTAGGGGGGTGTTGATGGGGGGAGACGATGTGGCCATGTTGGGTAGGGGGGGTGTTGATGGAGAGAAGAGACGACGATGTGACCTGCAGAGTGGCCATGTTGGGTAGGGGGTGTTGATGGGGGGAGACGATGTGGCCATGGGGTAGGGGGGGTGTTGATGGAGAGGAGACGACGATGTGACCTGCAGAGTGGCCATGTTGGGTAGGGGTGTGTTGATGGGGGGAGACGATGTGGCCATGTTGGGTAGGGGGGTGTTGATGGAGAGAAGAGACGACGATGTGACCTGCAGAGTGGCCATGTTGGGTAGGGGGGTGTTGATGGGGGGAGACGATGTGGCCATGTTGGGTAGGGGGGGTGTTGATGGAGAGAAGAGACGACGATGTGACCTGCAGAGTGGCCATGTTGGGTAGGGGTGGGTGTTGATGGGGGGGGCGGGGAGACGATGTGGCCATGTTGGGTAGGGGGGGGTGTTGATGGGGGGGGGAGACGATGTGACCGGCAGATGTGGCCATGTTGGGTAGGGGGTGTTGATGGGGGGAGACGATGTGGCCATGTTGGGTAGGGGGGGGTGTTGATGGAGAGAAGAGACGACGATGTGACCTGCAGAGTGGCCATGTTGGGTAGGGGGGTGTTGATGGGGGGAGACGATGTGACCTGCAGAGTGGCCATGTTGGGTAGGGGGGGTGTTGATGGGGGGAGACGATGTGGCCATGTTGGGTAGGGGGGGTGTTGATGGAGAGAAGAGACGACGATGTGACCTGCAGAGTGGCCATGTTGGGTAGGGGGGTGTTGATGGGGGGAGACGATGTGACCTGCAGAGTGGCCATGTTGGGTAGGGGATCCATTGATGGCAGGCGATGACATAGTGGCCATCTTAGTTAGGGATTCAATGACGGTAGAGACGTCAATGTGACCTGCAGTGGCCATCAATTTGAGTCGGGGATTAATTAATGTGATGCAATTGAATGCAGAGTAGCCATCTTGGGTAAGGGATTTATTGATAGGCGGCAATAACATGCAGAGTAGCCATATTGGTAAGGGATTCATTTATGCGTATATAGGGGACCCCGGTATAAAGATTTTGTGGGTTCGATCCCAACCCTGACGCCTGCTATATATATGAGTTTGCATGTTCTTCCCGTAGTCGTGTCGATTGTTCCACGTGTCATCCGGTTTTTTCCCCCTCCACGTTTATAAACATGCGTTTAGAGTATTTGGCTGCTATAAATTCCCGCATAAGCAACTTCGTTGAACGATGTGATAGCAAGGACACTTATGAAAAAAAGGTTTATATATGACTCAGTGGGCCTTACCTGGTAAAATAAAAACAGCAACAATTTAAATGCCCCTTTAAAATTGGTCATCTGCAGTTTTTAATACGTACCAAATATCGGCACAAATCAAATCAATTCTTTCTAGATTTGAAGTTTTCGTGACTGCAAGGATCCGTACTCTTTGGTTCTTTCGGTAAAGTTACGTAGGTGAAAAATAATAAAATAAATTAGCTTTTTAGAAAGAACCAAAGAGTATAAATCAAATCAAGCCGCCCGAACACACCAATTTAAATTCCCGGATTGTCCGGCACAATGATTGACACGTGTCAATTACAGCGGGGCCTTAAAAACAAATACCTACCGATACGAGACATTTTGGCCAATGGTCATTCAAAGCAAACATTGAGGATTTATAATAAATTTGTTTAAAAAAAAAGTTTCCCCAATCAAGTTATTTTTTTAGTTATCTTAATTTTGGAGCTTTCGTGACTGCAAGACTTATTCTTTGGTTCTTTCGGTAAAGTCACGTATAAAGATAAAATAATAAATTAAATAATCGCTAATTTTATTAAATTAAATAATAGCTATTACTTTATTTATTATTTTATCTTTATACGTGACTTTACCGAAAGAACCAAAGAATATTTTTTTGTAGTTATCTATAAGTAGAGCAGTGTTTCTTAACCTGGGGTGCGAGACATGTCAGATTGTTTTGAAGGTCAATAATCGATAACACAAATTCAGCACGGGCACATAGGTAACACCTTAACTTTGTTTCATCAAACCCTGTGTATTTATTAACATTGTACATGTTTTAATGATTGCTAACCAAAGGGGCGCTCGGCTACAGTAAAGGCTGTGAACCACTGAGTTGGAGCAACAGACAACCCCATCATTAATCAAAACAAGTTTTCGGAAACTAATTTATATTAAAAGTTACGGAATGCTGCTGGCGCATTGCTTCACGACGGACAGAACGCCGCAAGGTCAATGTGGCCCTTGTCAAGGTCACGCCGGCCCTCGATCTGAGGTCACCCGGCAAGAGATATTTCGCGTTGACAATCACGGCGAATGGACACGGTGCTACTTGGCCATCTTATTGAGGAAAAGAACGGTCAACAAATGTCGACAATGGGCTCATAGCAACTCTATAATGCACTTCAAGAGGCCAGGATTATCTAAGCTGATGTCAACGCATGAATTAAAATGTCAGGCGTTGTCCCACTTCTGTAACTTTCAGAAGTGAAGTCGAAACCGCAAATTGAGTTTTCTTATTGGTGCTAAGATGTAGACTGTTTTTGTTCCTTTAACGTCACCGCTGCATTGATGTTTTAACAATATTAACATGCCATCTTAAAATGTAAATGTGTGGTTATGTTGCAGCTTGGTTTGTTTTTTTCCCCAATGTTACATCTTTATAAATAGTATCAATGACCCAGCCAGATTGCAGGCAAGTGTTACTTCGGGAAACGATGACTGGATACTTTCAATGGGATGTTGGTACAAAAAGGCACAAAGTGAGAACCCGTTTTCATTGCAAGATCTTCCAATACATCAATGAATGCAAGAGCCCACAGAACAGAGATGCATAAGAGCACAAATTATTCAAGGGGAGCACTCAAAATACCAATTTAATTGTGGGAATAAGAAAGGCCGTTTACCTCAGGAAATTACAACAAAAAAGTTATAAAGGATTGGTATCCATCCAGCTTGCTTTTTTTTCATAACGTACCCTTAAATATGCTCGTAAATCTTGCTAGAAATGCAACGGCACGTGCAGAACAGAAATCTGAACAAGGAACAATTGTCCTAAGAGTTGGATATTGTATGAATAAAGCAGTTTTTTTATTAGTTTTTTTTTGTTAGTAATACAATTTGCAAAGTATGTTTTCCAACAATATTACAGGTGGGCAGTGAAGTTTGCTTTGTGCATGGTAGCACAGCAGCTACCAGCACTGGACTGTGATGCAGGCATCTGGCACAAGATAACATGGAAGCATACAAATTAAACAAAATACACATAGCATCTCTTTCATATATGAAAGCAAATATGCAATTTATTAGGACAAGTTGTTAAATGAGGGGAAATTCATTATTGCAAGTATGACAAACATAATGTGTAAATTATAAGATCTGCTTCTTTACACTCGTAAAACAAACACATTTTTGAAATACATTAAAGATTGTTGAAATAAACTTAAATGCATGGAAGGGGCTTCTACAGTAAAGCTTGTTTTACATGAGACAACGTCCCAAGTGACAAAACAAGTTTCAGCTCCCCAGGTCTTCATAAATTGTGTGCCACATCTTGCCATCGAAACAAAGGTATGGTCTCGTTTCACCCATCACTTATTTTACACATCCAAAAAGGAAGCAATCAACTCAATTTTTTAATCATGCAGTTACCCTAAGAGCCATCAAACCAAGAAAAAAAACAGGTACGAGACAAAAATGAAACTAAATTTTAATTCTGATAATGTTGACATATACATTTTACAGTGAAGACCAAAATCCCAAATGCTCAGTCCAGGAAACAACCAACGTAATGCAAAATACACTGTGGTTATGCCGGGCAGGAGACCATACCATGAGGACAGAGCATATTAAAAGCAAGCATGCAACTCCTGCCTAAGCACTCTGCATCTCCTTGCCAATCTTGTAGCTCAGGATTTTGTTCCAGTCGATCTTGGTTCGGGTGACTGGCAATTGGCGGCGAAGAGCCTTAAAGGTTGTGTCCGACATCGTCTGATAGTTTTCCGAGATCGCCGTCTGCAAGATGAACGCGCGAATAATTTGTCACGCGAAATATTAGCACGTGAAATATGGACACTGCCGACGGAACGCTTTCGACTACAACTTATAAAAGCAATTCCTACGTGTTTTACGTCGTAACATACGAATGCACAATATCAGAGACACAATCCGAGGACAAACAGGAATTGTTTTTCAAATATTACAAACATTAAACGTAAAGAAACGTCGGAAACAAATTATACAATTCGTCAATTTATAAGAGCAATATTTTACTCGAGTGCTTCTTTGAGATCAGAGGACAGAACTGTTGGCGACTGTGCAAAGTAAGCAAGTCGAGAAGCATTTAAAACACATTCCTGTGGGGGGGAGCTGGTAGGAACGTTGGGTTGCTCGGTCAATGGCGGCGTGGTGTATTCCGCAAATATGCCCGACTGAGGGCGGGCACAAGCCGGCGTGAGTAGGTTAAACGTTGAGTTATATAAGGGCACCACGGGGTGACCAGCCCCTCCCCTCCCCACCCAGCCCCACCCCTCCCATTTTTGGATGCACGACGGACGGACACAATAATCCCCTGTGGGCTGGTGGAACCAGGTGGTTCCTACCAGTATAATACAATGGTGACCAGGCTTGAGAGAGCTTGGCAGTCGATGGGCATGGCCTGGGGAAGTGGGGACTGTAGTAGCACTGGAGGTATCAGCATGGGCCACAGCTGTAAACACGTGTTCAGGAGAGTTGGTCATGCTGGGGGCAGCAGATCAAGCCAGGAGGGGGGTAACTTACGATGACTTGAAGGACATAGCAAATCGTACATTACAAAATATTAGTGGTTATGGTGATAATCATAACACAACATTTTCTTCGTTGCTTGCCTTTGGCAGGTTCAATTACATTCAATAAGGAGAACCGGTACAAAGCCGAGTTTTACCTGATACTCATTCTCAGCATCTTCGATAATTTTGATGAATGCCTTGGCAGCTTGAGATTCATTCTGCAACAAGAATATCAACAAGCCGGGAGAACCACGGTGAGCGATTCTCACTCCCAACTGGAGTGTCCCATTGCTTCCTGAGATCGCGTCTGCACTGCACGCTCGATCTTCACTGCAAACGTCGCTGGCAAGTGACCGTCTGCAGTCTACGGGATTTAGATTTGTATTTACTGCAGCAGGAATGACCCAATTATCCGTCGGGCTCTATTTCACGGGCGTTGTGCGACGTAAGACTACGCGTGCTCAGGCGAGCGAGGATGACCTCAAAACCACAATACTCTCAGCAGAGTTGACGCCATCAGACGTGCACACCATTGCAGGCCAGGTGCAGCAGGCCCACAACAACCGAGATGTCTTCTTGGTTCTTTCGGTAAAGTCACGTAGAAGGAAAATAACAAAATAATAAATATAACACGTAATAAAATAATTATCACGACGTTTCGGCCACAACACAAGCTGCTTGCGTTGTGGCCGAAACGTCGTGAGAATTATTTTATTATGTTTTATATTTATTATTTTATATTTTTCCTTCTACGTGACTTTACCGAAAGAACCAAGAAGATGAATCCCTGCAGTCATGAAAGCTTTAAATCGAAATTTAACCGAGACGTCGTTTTACCACAGTCTGCCAAACCTCCACTACTCGTCCTAATGCTGCGGGGTCGGTCTCTGAGCCAGCAGCAGCAGGCAGCACTCCCGTTTGTGAATGCCGTGGTGCGTAGACACCTCAGCCTCACTCGCATTCACCACCAGAGGACGCACGTGGTACACACAGCACGTGGTACACACACAGCCACGCACGGACCACAAGGCAGGGTTACCTCTCCTCCTCGTGGGTGCAACTGCGTGGCGATAATATTCTAGCGCATTGGTTCTCAACCTTTTTTGGCAACTGTAAACCCTTGTTGACTTTTATTTCAACCGAGTACCACCCCCCTTGTCTGAGCTAACATGGTTCGAGAAATGTATGAATAATGAACACCAATAGTTTAACCAATTACTTGTTGGTTTTTTTCGGTAAAGTCACGAAAAAAACCAAAGAGTATGAATCCTCGCAGTCACGAAAGCTTAAAATCTAGAATTAAAGTTTAACCAATTGTCCAATTCAACGACGCTCTCTGCATGCGTGACGTCATTTGTTCACGCTCGCTGGTTACTCTTGGAAACCGCATAGTTTACGATCAATGAGTTTAGAAAGAAAGGTCTTTCATATCGTTCTAGGTTACCATATGGACTCAAATTTTATCGGAGTAATTTTATTTTGGCAGATTCATACGTGATTATTCACCAATGACTCACGTACGGTATAATTTCACACATTGATAAATCACTTCACGTACTCCCTGGGACATTGCCACGTACCCCCAGGGGTCCGTAGAACAGAAAAATAATGACATCCTCACCAAGGAAATGTACAATTTCAAATAACTAGTAGCGTGTGTTGGTCCGTTAAATATTTAGAGGTTGAAAAGGGGCCGGGACACTTGAAAAGGCTCGGAACCGCTCTTCTAAACTCTTAATATTTACACAAATTGCAGTTTTGTAATTAAACTATTTCAGATAACCAGCCGACCATCATTACACAGCTTAAGCAACTGAATCCTATGATAATTTTCTGGTCTTAACTTGAAGTCTCTAAAACGCTGAACTTTTACTCAACATTGCAAGTGTGCCGAAACAAAAATCACATGCAATGCAAGGCGAACGCGCTCGCCGTACGAGCGCAGGCGATATGGCATTTTTTAAATTTCACTTCTAATGGGAAGCCCAAGGGAAACACAATAGCAGCCGAAACGGATAAATCTCGAGTGGCGTGTGTTTGCGTTGCGCTACGTACATTACAGGACATGGACTCCTGCACATCCTTGTGGCTCACCAGCTGCACATTTCCATCCTCGTAGTAATGGACCTGCGACAAAGGGAGAGAAAGTGACACGGCAGCCGCCACGTGCACCACTGAGCGACGGTGATACTTGCCACGGAAATTGTGGGCAGGCTTGGGGTACGCGCGCGAGGCCATGCCGAGTGGCCAACGGCTCACAGCAGAGGTCGCAAACGGGTTTTGATTCCTTACCCGTACCCGGCCGCACCAGGGTCGCAAATGGGTACCCGTACCCGTACCCTACCCGAAATGAGTGACAAACAGTTACTCACCAGTGACTCACGGCCTACCTGTACCCGTACCCGGCCGCACCAGGGTCGCAAACGGGTACCCGTACCCGGCCGGGTACGGGTAGCCGGGTATCGGGTAGGGTACGGGTATCGGGTACCCGGTTGTGACCTCTGGCTCACAGGTAGCATGTCACGTGGTTTAGCCTCGGGTTATCGGACCATGATGGACAGCAGATGGACCGCTGTATTCCCCAGCCTCTGCCTTGTTTTGGCTCAACGTTGCGACATCGTTCCTGTGCCTCACATTTGTTTGATCGTTGGCTGCTGCAAGCCACCCAGGAGCCACCGAGGAAAATCCCGACACTGCTGGTACAGCCATTGGCAAAGGCAGCAGAGGACCAGGCCCCCTTGCACTACAACAACAAAAATAGATGCTTGGGCATTTAATGGTGGAGCCGATGGGGCAACATGACACCATCAATGTATACTCTTCTGCCAGAGTAACGCATTGATGGGGAGGACCCTGTCCAGATGTTTCCAGTACCTTGTGAGTGTTTACGCAATCAAACGTGGATTACATCTTGTACATTTGCAGCAATATTTGTTATTCCACTGCTGGATCAGGGCAATGGAACACGGGTGGAACTGCCTGACTAGGTCAATCATGAGGCAGTGCAGGACCAAGGGGACTGGTAGGAGGCTCCGAAAGACTACTTTCATATTGGAGCCAGTTCATCGATTGCCTTGAGGGCTTGTGCTGGCTCACAGCACACTGGTAGCAGTGGTGTTCATTCACTTGCACAATGCTTCGAAAACGATGTCGACAGCAGCAGATGAATTCCGACGGCGGTGAGAAGTAACGCAGTGGAATGAAGCTCTCACCTGGATCTTAAGGATGCCGACCACCTGTGCTGTGGGCTGGGACACTGTGAACTTCCATTCGGATCTCCAGCGCCCGTTCCTGGGAAAGGCACACACGGTGTCAAGTGTCAAACGCCTTCGCTCACCCCGCTGAAGCAGAGAACCTTGCGTACACCAAGCCAACATTTTTCATTCTAGATTTGAAGTTTTCGTGAATGCAAGGATCCATACTCTTGGTTCTTTCGGTAAAGTCACGTAGGTAAAGAAAAGAAAAATAAAAGATTAAAAATAAATACATTAAATCACGACGTTTCGATTGCAACACAAGCAATCATCATCAGGTGTGACAACCACAGCAGTAAACTTTCTTGCTGTGGTTGTCGCAACATTTTTAAATCCACTAAATGTACTGCAAATTGTTACTTATTCCGAGGCTAGCAAATGGGCAGACAATTGTAATCGCCGCTCTGTGCAACTCACAATGACCTATTTCCTGAGCGCTGAATTTCACATCTGGCCAAAAGACCTCTGGGAATTACCATCCAAACACAACTCAAAATTAACAAACAGGTTCTTGTGGATATACAAAAGGTTAATTTAATTGTCAGCACCCACCAAAATTAAATAATTGTACTTTTATAACCAGCTAACAAATGACACTAAATTCTAACATTGTCCAGCCACTCTTCTACGGCAAACGTCTGTAAGCCATGGTGCATGTGGCATGACATCAACTGCTTAATGACAGCACAGAGAAGGAGGGGAGCAGAGATCACAAAGCAAACAAAACACAGCCGTCAGGCCCAGCATTTGCAGCTCGTCACTGTTCACAGGCTTGCGAGCCACGCAAGAGAAAAATTAACCCGTAAAAACAAAGTTTTTCACTAGAAATCCTTTATATGCGTGGCGGCTAGAGTCCTCTCGTCCTCTGGCTTGAGATGGCGGCCACCTATGGGTCAGATGATTGCCAGCCACCATTAAGCAATTGGTAATTAAATATAAAAAAAAAATTCCTAAAAAGTGTAAAATTTAGGAAAAAATTCACGAAAATAAATTGTCACGCACAACGAGTCTGTGTGCAAAATGTCAGCTCGGTTGGATCACGGGAAGTGGGTTAAAAAACGACCGAAAGATTTGCACGGTCGTAAGCGCGCAAGCAAGCAAGCAAGTGAACTTAATATAAAGGATTTAAAAATACCAAACTTTGCGAAGCTCTCAAGCGAGATGGCAGGACAGGAAGTGGTTGAAACCCATCTGTTCGGAGCAATGTTACACCCTCGTATGGGCGGCGTGTTTTCTTCGTGTGCTCCCGTTTCCTTCCCAACTGCCAAACACTCATTAATGCATTTGGCCAAACATTGAAATGCAGGAACCTCCTGAAATAGAATCCTGAGACTCAAGTGAGGCTTTCCTCGATAAACAAAGGGCACTATTATGCACTGGCACAAGTGTGTAGGGGTTTCAAGTTCAAACCTAACTTCCTCCCCCCCCACTCATGAAGATCGGTCAGGCCGAGTCTAGCACGTGACGACGTGGAACCTTGCGGAACCCCTAAGACAAAACAAACGGGAGCTTACGGACAGGACATATCCTTGAGCACAAAAGACTTCGCAAGCACGATAACCAACACGAGGCTGGCTCATAGCCCATCAGAATATCCTCTTGCTCGGCTTATTTTCAGCATCTATGCTCACTGCAGCGTTGCATACAAGTTCATTTTGTTAAATAAAACCAGTGTAGTCTCAGTTGCAAGAGTGAGATGCCGGGAAAGGGCGCTGATTGCTACGTATAATCCCAATTGATTAATTTGTGGGTAAAATGTAGGATTTGTACCGTGACACCGGCACACAACGACACACTCGAGTGCGCAAACGACTTCAGGGGATCTAAAACAACCGCCGCGATCCAGACGTAGCGTCGTAGCGCCATCACGGTTATAACCGCAGCGGCTGCTGGATACGAAACTGTGAACCCCTGCAATGAGCGGTGAACGCAGCGCCACCGCCGCGTCACCACTCGGCAACGCTGCGTGGGACCACTGTCACTACGGATACCAGCGTCGAGTAAGGAGAGCAATTAAGAGGTGCCCACCTGGCCATGTCCAGGGTGATTGCTCACGAGACACGTAAACACAAGGATACACCGCCGTGCGCCGTGAATTTACCAGAAGTTCTTGGGCTGGAACTGATGGCTTTCGATGCAGGCTATGATTGTGGGCTGTCCATCGATATTCTTCCCGTACACCTGTCAGGCAAACGCAATGTTACATGCACAGTACATATTTCACATTTTTTAGGATAATGATTTACTGTAATGCAAAAATCATAAACATGAAAGCATTTCATTCATATTGTGTCATGGCCTGGAAATGCTCCCTTGGTGCGCAGGTCAACTTTACATGCCAGTTTATTGTCTTTTTTTCCTCCAATTTTATCCCATTAGTCCTTTTCGGTGTCATGTCATGAGACTTTACTTATTTTACTTAATCATCCAGGAAAGTCACACCGAGTCGCAGATCACTCTTTTTCAGGCGGGTTCTGGATGGGGAGGGGGTTTATTTTAACATGTTTTTAGCCAATTAATCAGCGCTTGTACAAGTTGGAGGAAACCGGAGCACCCGGAGAAAACTATCGCGTGCGAAGAATGAACAATCATCCAATCACAACTGGCACAAAGCAGTGTGACCTTTTCGTGTGAAGAGGAACAGTCCACGGACACAGATATTAAAGAGCTACCTCTAACGTCCCTTCACGTGATCTCTGTTCGACACACTAGGGGGCAGCGCCTTTCCAAATGCCCTGCCACTGGAGGCAATATTCATGGGACGTTGATCAAACGGATTTCTCAGGAGCTGGAATCCGGACTGATGATAAAGTGCAGAGCCATATTTCATACCATGTTGTTTTTTGTGCAGTCACTGGATTGGTGACCAGGCCGAGACCATCATCTCAAAACACTTGAGAATCCAGTTTGATCACGGGCAAGTGCCAAGATTCAAACAAAGGAACTTGGCCATGTCGGCTCAGTACTCTCTTGGCGTCTGAACCACATGGGCTGGTGCCACGTGCCAATAGAATAAGCTGGCCTTAAAAGTTTGTCCAGATACTCATACAGTTTGTTAGACAGGTTTGTATTTGCTTTGCTCTTAGTGAGGTTCACAAAGTTACACTGATATCGAATAACTCTAAGTGTCTTCTTGGTTCTTTCGGTAAAGTCACGTAGAATGGAAATAATAAAATAAAATAAATAAAACATTTAAAAAATGTATTATTTTACTATTTCCATTCTACGTGACTTTACCGAAAGAACCAAGAAGATGAATCCCTGCAGTCACGAAAGCTTTAAATCGAAACTCTAAGTGTCTTTGGCTCTTTTGAGTGTTCAATGAATGGTAAAAATTATCAATATAAATTAAATGGCTTAAAATCCTTGGAATTTCTAAATGAAGCTGATTATTTTTAAACGTACTCGGATTTGACTCTTCAAGTCTTATTAGGCGTTTCACTGAACCCTCCTTCCAATCAAAGCAACAGCCTCCAGCATGCATCAAAACACCTCTGTTTGCTACATGTTGACAAGACACCATCCTGTCACTGCAATGTGGTGGCCACTTTGCAATGCACCCGAGGTGTCCCCCAACTTGACACGACGGGTCAGCCCGAACGACATTCCTGCACTTTCGTGCATTTGTTATAGGTCACAGAAGCACTCTAATTCAGCTGCTTCCCGGCTTAATCGACAATGTCTGTTTTGCCATGCTTTAATCACCGACCCACTTCTTAACATTTCTTTCATGCACGGTGTTCATGCGGAAATCTGGCAAACTACTTGGCAAACTTGGCGCCCTCCTGCATTAGAAATCTAATCACATCATTCTGCTGGAATGAAACATCCACTCCGGCCATCTTGTTGGTTACGACTTACTGCAGCGTCTCTTGACAAGATGTTAATGAAATAAAACATGTCGGGGGAATGCTAAATTCAAAGAGCTCAAGTACACGCAATGCATGCAAACTGGTAGCATGCCATCATGCGCTGAAAAATAACCTGCAGATTTCCCAAATGGGTGACTACAAACATCGGACCCCTGCTGTAAGTCTCCCGACGTGGGGCAGGCTTTGCCGGGTAAACAAGCAAAATAATAATAAGGATGACAACAGAGCCGGTTTGTATTTTCCAGGCCCGTACCCCCCCCCCACACCCCCCGTGCCGTTGCTGCGAATGTCGAGCGCCGTACCGTGCTCACGCCGTTTGGGTAGTGCTCCTTGACGTAGGCCTGCAGTGCGTTGTCCACGTTGGACCTCCAGGACTCCATCACCATGGCGCCGTCCCACGACGAGATGTCCGACGCTTCCTTTCGTAGATGGTCATACTTGAAGGACTGCTTGGTGCGTGGGTCCAAATAATGGCCACCGCCAATGTCACCGTGCTCTGTGATCAGTACCTGGCAAAGATCGCAAGAAAAAAACACGGAAATCTACTCAAAGCACAGGCCGCGGTTAGGCGAAGCGTAAACAATGCGACTCTTGTGCCAAGACCATTACTTGAGTCCAGCGTTAAGAACTGGCAATCCATAGCATCGCTCTATACCCTTGCGACCAAATGTACGACGAAATAATTTGTCTAATTGCCAAGAAAGTTGAACAGCCAGCACAACTCTAAACATGAACAGAAACACAGCCCTATTCTTAGGTTTTTTCGGTAAAGTCACGTAGGTAAAAACATTAAAAAGTAAAATAAAATAAATAAAATAATGATTTTTATTTTATTTTACTTTTTAATGTTTTTACCTACGTGACTTTACCGAAAAAACCTAAGAATATGAATCATTGCAGTCACGAAAGCTTCAAATCTAAAACACAGCCCTACTCAGGAGTAGAGCAACGTGGAAGGTATTGGGCATAAAAAATCAGATAAAATACATTCTACTGCAATAAAGCCTCATGCTGCTTTTTTCAACCTCTGAGAACATGTCCCTCAGCACCACTGAACCTGTCATTCTACCAAAATGGGTTCATAAGGCAGAGATTTAAGACAAACATTTTAACCCAGGCTCGCCTGCCAAACTCCGAATCCAGGCATTAATGAATGACGATCACATCCACTCCCCAAGTCAGCCGCAGTGCAAATTGGTGTCGGTGGCAAGCCTGTTCCTCTAGCCATCAACACGGCCATGGGTCCTCCTGATGCGTGGCATTAAAAATCCATTAGAAGCCCACAGCGACAATTATGAGATAAAAGCTCCCGATTTCAAGAGGCTCTTCCTATTTCATGCACTCCAAACGGCGTAAATATGCCGAGTCTTGCCAAGCATTCATGACCTACCCATCGAAATCACGGAGCACCCAAACTCTCATTACACATCGCTGAAATAACACACTTAATGTGCAGTGACACGGTCTAGCGGTAGTGCGTTCGCCGCTTCTTGCAGTAGTTCACGACTCCAAACGAACGCCGCCCAGATTATTGCTGCTGGTGTTATGATCGCAAAATGTATGCATGTACGTTGAACTTCTTTCAACAGTGCTAATCGGAAGTACGGGGGAAGGAAAAACTACACAAAAAGCAGTTTTAAAGAAATGAGTTTTCAATGTAGATGGATTTAAAAGTGCGTGGCTCCAGTGGCTTCCTAATATCAGAAGGAAGAGAGTCCCAAATGGCCGCAGAAACGCAGTCGACCGTCTTTTGTTCAATGGCTCGCCAAAAGCCACCGCGAGGATGACCGGAGTTTTACATGATGGTTTAACAGTGGATGCTAAAAATGCCCTGACGTCAATTCGCAAGAGTCGTAAATCTTCCTTCAAAAGTACTCTGAGGCAAAAGATTAATGCCGGATACGGTCACATTTACAAATGTGATTTGGAAATTTGATTCTTAACAATGTATCGATTGTTAATTTTTCATGTAAAATTTTACCGAGGGACTGGATGTTGTCTTGGTGTGGTCCTTGGGCTGTTTTTGCTGTTTTTTTACTGCCTTTCCCAAGCTTTGGAATTGATGTACTAATACAATTGGAACTCATATACTTCATTTATTTACTAAACGATGCACTTTTTTGTTATTTTACCAGGCCCACTGAACTGAAAAGCTCTGGCCACAAATGATAGCTCAACGAAGTGACTTATCAGGTGGAAATTTAAAGCAGTCAAATATTCTAAACGCGTGTTTCTAAATGTAGAGGGAAAAACCCGAGGACCCAGAGAAAAATCCACGCGACAACGGGGAGAGAGAGAGAGACACGCAAACTCCAAATATACAGCAGGCGTCAGGGTCGGGATCAAACCCACGACCTCCTGCGTACCAGGTGAGGGAGTTAACATCTCTCCACCGTGGTTCTTTGTGCTCAGGCAGCCGAACAATCACAGATCAGGGTTCTTCTCTTCCGCAGGATGCAGGACGAACACAGCCTCAACATAAATCACCACAATCACTACAAAATTACCTGGTCTTCAATTCCCTGAACCTTTACAGGCGTGAACTGATCCATGTTGTAGTCGGCAAAGGCACTGCGAACAGATTAAACAAAATTAGTTGAAGCTGCTGCTGCTGCTGCGTTGGCAGCGGTGCCACAAGCACAAATTGCAACAAAATCACATTCATCAATAACACTGGCTTAAAAGGAAAAAAAATTTGAACATATTAGCTTTCGGACAATGGCGCTTCTTTGATGTGCTATGAAGAAGGGCCGTTGCTTAAAACGTCGGCCGCTACACATTTTTGCACTTTAAGGCCGTGTGATTAATAAATGTGTTGTTTTTTATCCGCCAATTACAACGGATTTAAACACAGGAGTTCGTCTTCAAAATATTGTTAAAATTATTTAATGGAATACACATTAAGCTACACATCGAGGGACCGCATTGCATTGGCACTGTGCAGCAAAGGGAAACGAAAATCTGGAACAATTATTTGAGTTGTTCGTGAAGCTCAGTGGATTATATCATTAGAGTGGATATTTTACTCTTTGGTTCTTTCGGTAAAGACACGTAGATGAAAAATAAAAATGAATAATAAAAAATAATAAAATGAAAATAACTTGGGTAAGAGGGGGGGAGGAGCCAGGGAGGAGGGATGCAGGGGGGGCGTGTGGAGTCGGGAGGGGGGTTAAGCCGAGTTAAGCTGATTAATAACATCCTTTTTTACTATTATTTTATTATTTTATTTTTCACATACGCGACTTTACCGAAATAACCAAAGAGAATGGATCCTTGCAGTCACGAAAGCTGAAAATCTAGAGTGGATATTCTCACGCATTATTCATTACTACAAACTGGCAGTTAATTAGCTGCATTCACAACATTGGAACACGCATCTCTATTTGGACAGCCTACGTCAGACTAAGTAGCTAATTGGCCAAGGTCCACAATGTCAAGTAAGGCACACCGAGGATCGAGAAAGCATCTCGTCATTTGTTGTCCTCTCTACAGATCCTGGTTTTAATTTTTTTTTACACAAAAGCACACATCTGCCTTACCCCCTTACAATAATAAAGGACTAAAAATGCAATTGCCACTAATTAATCGCGGCAATTTCGCACGAGTGCATTGACACGGGGCTGTGAATTGTGATTCAATAATCGCAGATGTACAACTTGACCGGCCATCATCAGCGACGGGAATCAAAGGCGCTTACTGTGACACTCCTTCCCTGAGGAGGTTGTCATTGTTGAGCAGCAATCGCACATCTGAAAGAGAAATGAAATCATGCGTTGAGGAAATCCATACAAAAGGCTTCTCTCGGTGAAATAAATACATCACAGCAATTACTATGACATGCCAATCAATTGCAGAACTCCAGTGTCGACTACAATTGCACACAAACCTTACACAGTTGCGTATCGACAAGAAAACCCCCACAAACCCTTGGCACTAACACAAAATAATAACTCGTCAATATAAAAGCACAAAAACCTCGTTACATCTCAAGCGAACGAAACCCTGCCAACAATAAATAATTAGCAAAACTTAGTTTCCATCCAACGCAAAACACACCACGAGTGGAAAGTGTTAACCATATGAACACGAGAGCACGCAAAAACCTTGCTCACTCACAGTAAATTTCGATTTAAAGCTTTCGTGACTGCAGGGATTCATCTTCTTGGTTCTTTCGGTAAAGTCACGTAGAAGGGAAGTAATAAATGTTTTATTTTTATTATTTTATTACTTCCCTTCTACGTGACTTTACCGAAAGAACCAAGAAGACACTCACAGTAAATTACAATGGCCAAGGTGAGACGTGTGCTTTCCATTCAGATGCAGGGGGGAAGGCTCTCCCCCTCACATAACAGGTGCCCTGCAAGGGGACTTAAAAGTGGCCGCCTAAGGTTACTATTATTATTACAAATAGAAAGATTCCCCATATAGCCTTGACAGACTATTGGCTATAATTGCTGTTAGCGAGCACCTAAGAAGGCCAGCACAGCACACGAGGGGGTGGGTGGCCCGACCACCTTTGTCTCCCCAGCGGCAATGGTTACATATCGCACCAGGTACTTATTTGAGGCCGAGTCGACCTAGGGGATGCCCAGAATCAGTTCAGATAATCGTCACCAGTGTTGGTCGTGAGCGGGAATCGAATTCGGGTCGCCTGGTTAGTAGCACAGTACGCTAACCCACTAACATGGCGATGCCGTGAACCAATTATTTTTACGCTTGTTCACCCAGCAAAACCTACCCGAGTCTCACGACTCGTTTTCAGGAGGGTCTTACCAAATGTTCACAGTAATAGGTGGCGATTACTGTGCACATTCCAACGGAGGCATTTGCGGGTAATTTTTCTACAATTGGGATGTTTTGCCGCACTAGATGCTGGGCCACGTCACATGTCCACTAACAATGGGAAAACTTAACACTCGGACAAGACGCACCGACTTTACCAATTTGTGTCAAATATCAGTCTCTTTAGTGGGTTGAAAGGCACCGCGTTTTTGGGCGTGCGTTTCTGAAAGGCGTGCAAGGATTGTGTAACGCAGGGTTGACTACGGACACAGCCCTGACTGGTAAACTCCGCTCTAAAGATAGGCGCATCCTCGTAAATGCTCTTCCCAATGATAGTCATGTTCCAATGTTAGCTGAACCAGGAAACACAAGGAGTGCCACTATAAGAAGCATCTTCTGAGGATTACCTTGTCCTAAGCCAAAGACTTGCTGCAGAGACATTGAGTACGCCTGACAGTATTGCCCTACACTTAAGGACAGCTGCATCTGAACTAAGTGTTTTCTTGGAATTTCTCTCACTTGACACAGCTATCGTGCTGTGACGGTTCCACCTGAAAACGGAAGCTTGCGTTGCCTCCGAAACGTCGTGATTTTTATTTTATTTTACTTTTATTAATTTTATGTTTTTACCTACGTGACTTTACCGAAAAAACCTAAGAATATAAGTGAAGGACATAGCCCTACAGCACTGGCCTATGCACTTACACCGAGACCCTCTCACCAGCACTGAAAAATTAGGACTTAGAAATACGCCATTCACGGAGGCTTCCTGCATCATGAAGTTGTGCAACACGCATACTTTGCAAGGTGTCGACATATCAGACAGCCGGATGCTAACCAAGCCACTTGAAAGTAAGCCGTTGCCATTCGAGTACAGCTGTTTGAGATAAATGCTATGCGTGTTGTGGAAAGACAGAAGCAATGCACAAGTCCTGAAGAGAACATGGCAGGCGAGCGTTTAGATATGATCAGGCAAAAACCGGTTGCGTCTGGTGTGATGTGTGTGCAGGAGGGGCGAGGGCCGATTGCCGAGACAGGCATTGAAATGGTCTCCACGAATCCGGCGACCAATGGGAAAACTTCTTGGTTCTTTCGGTAAAGTCACGTAGAAGGGAAATAATAAAATAATAAAAATAAAATACAATTCTCACGACGTTTCGGCCACAACGCAAGCATCCGTCCTCAGGTGAAGAACAGGGCTGTCGGAAAGACAGCGTCTGTCTGTCTTTCCAACAGGTGAAGAACAGGGCTGTCGGAAAGACAGCGTCTGTCTGTCTTTCCGACAGACCTGTTCTTCACCTGAGGACGGCTGCTTGCGTTGTGGCCAAAACGTCGTGAGAATTGTATTTTATTTTTATTATTTTATTATTTCCCTTCTACGTGACTTTACCGAAAGAACCAAGAAGATGAATCCCTGCAGTCACGAAAGCTTTAAATCGAAATGGGGAAACTGTCAAGGCAGATCTTGGAGGGCACGTGTCTACCGGGAAGCGGCTGCAGGGATCTGGTGGAAGTTAGGAAGCGATGGCGATGTGCGGCTTTGGCCATGATGACACCAATAATCTTGACCATGCCATTAAGTTTTGCTTCAGCCAAAAGGCTGTGGAGGCGTCAACATACAGGGCTGCCAGAGTGATCGTCAGCCGTGGACAATGCCAATCAATCCCTGTGCGGCACAAGCTGCAAAACGTTACCGGTCGTCCGGGAGGCAATTCCCACAGAAAGGAGGAAAACACAAGATGGAGGAGGAAGACCTCTGCATTGCTTGAGCAAACACTTGGAAGCACACAGCATCGAGGCTGCGTGCAGCCATGGTAGAGTCCCTTCGTTTCCCACTGCTGCCCATTTGGACATCACTGTGCACTGCCCGACCACCCCACTCGCCCCAATTGTCTCAAATTAGATTTCCCCATTCAAGTACAAAATGTGTAAATGTCTTTAACCGTGGTGCAATGTAGCAAAGTCAACGGCTTTAAGGCGCAAAAACGAATCGCACGCGACATTGGAATAGAAAATAAGGGTGAAAAATGTTTCAGGTCGTTGATGTGTTGCTACAGGCCTACTGCCCAAGAAAGGTTTGTGCCGAGTGAAGCGAGACATCAGAAAACATCTTAAAGAATGTTATCCTCATCAGGCCTCACGGTATGAACAAGCACAGCCTCCACAAACCCTTACCCAATCCGCCCGCTGATTGCCGTAGCGTTCTGACCCACCCATACTGAACATCTGTGAAAGAGCTTTATAGCTCGTCAGATTCCTCCAGTATAAATAAATGTTCTGATTATGAGAGGAGAGGTCTGTGGAAGTGGGGAGAGAGGGAAGGGAGGAGTGGGACAGGGCGAGGCCACTTGGTTTATGGGGATCCGACTCCACCTTGATTTAGTTCAGGCTCCTGCAAGGCTTCATCTCTTATAACATATATAAAAAACTATTCACTATTTTTTGTATTTTACCAGCTAAGGCCCAATGAGCTATGTAGCTCTTTTTCAGAAGCTACCAGGCCACAAATGATTGCTTAACAAAGTGGCTTATCAAGCGCAAATTGATGGCAGCCAAATGACCCTAAAAGCGTGATGTTGATTCTAAATGTGGAGATAAAAACTGGAGGACCCAGAGAAAAATCCACATGACCACGTGGACAACATTTAAACACCAAATCTACAACAGTCATATTTGGAAGCTGCACAGCAGGCAAGGGAGTAAACACAATGTCATCGCGCGTGCAAGCCGTCTTTGCTCGGGCTTGTGGAGCAGCGGCGAATGATTTCGCTGGAAGGCAAGTGCACCGATACCACAGAGGCAAAACCACAGCGGACCGAGCTCACAGTGCAAGGGCTCACTGTGCCAGACCGCAGCAGTGTGGCTTGCCGGCTCTCAGCCTCACTGCCCGAGTTCGGCGCTGCTCACTCAGCACACCATCATCGGGTATGCCCAAACAGGAAAGAGAGCTTGGTGTACCATGGAAATGCAAATTTCGTTTTGCAATTGTATGCAGTTACACTTTCCCCGATGTGTTCTCATGTTATTGAGGTTATGGTTCAAATTTGGCTGCTGCAAAAAAGCGTTTCAGACGGAAAACTTTTTGAGGGTGAATACATTTTGAGCCGAGCAGTGGCACAGGCCCGAATTCAAACACTTTAGAGGCAAGGCTTGGAGGCTCACACGGAATTGTGAAACTCCCAATCCTGCATGTCTGTGTTATAGCCAGGGGATTGCAGTACAATGTATCCTTGAAGCCACCTGTGCAGATGTGCCCGTTATTTGCCTATACGAATGTTTCTCCGGGTACTCTGGTTTCCTTCGACGCGAAAAACATTAACTAATGACATTGTCCACACATCCAAAGGAAAAACTCACCCGAAAATGATTGTCTCGGTGAGACTTTCCTAAAGCGCGTTTAATTGTTTTTTTTTCAGAACTTTACTACAATAATGTCCATGAGCTTAAAGCAGATAAGTTAGTCATTAGTACCACTGGAGTTGGCATAGCTTCAGTGGTTCCAATTTCTTGACGGGGCCAACAACTATGAATTATATAAGAACAATTTCAAATGAGTGGGTTTGTCAAGCAATCTACACATTACCCACATAAACAGGAACGTTTTGTTACCATAGGTGGTATCAATTTCTGCTCTGGCCCATGGACTACAAGATGACATCGGTGTTGTTGCCGATCACTAAATGGATTGCATAATACTAAAAACAAGAATTTTAAGTGACGCATTTTTTCTCCCTTACATATATCCCCTATTTTCAATGGACAAGTGAAGGGTTATGATCGTGCACATATGCATCTGCACTGTTCACTTCAACTATTAGGTCCATATTTTATTGATTTCGCATTTGCCCCAAGCAGGAAGTGGCTTCATCATCTGTGGAACACAGCAACCTCAGACCGCTCGCCAAGGCTGGGTTAGCAGTTCAGAAAAGTCATGACGAAAACTAACCTAAACACATTCCTGCGGAGGGAGCTGCTAGGAACGTTGGGTTGCTCGGTCAATGGCCAGGGTCAACGGCGGCGTGGTGTATTCCGCAAATATGCCCGACTGTGAGGGCGGGCACAAGCCGGCGTGAGTAGGTTAAACGTTGAGTTATATAAGGGCACCACGGGGTGACCAGCCCCTTCCCCACCCAGCCCCACCCCTCCCACCCCCCACCCAGCCCCACCCTCCCCACCCAGCCCCTCCCCCCCTCCCCACCCAGCCCCTGTCTGCACGATGGACGGACACAATAATCCCCTGTGGGCTGGTGGAACCAGGAGGTTCCTTCCAGTATAAAGTTACTTTGATACGAATGTCATTGAACTCAAACTCAACTCCTGCAGTGAACAGAGAATTCGTTGTCCTGTGCAAGAACCACTAGTTCACTTTAATCACTTATAACCAGATACTGGGGTGTTTTTGGCATGATGTATTATGTAATTGCGCGACATTTTCTTACGCAGTGTACATGTGATAAACGTACAGAGTAGAGACTTAATTTCACGCTCAACAAAATTATGCTTTTAATTTTTGGCAGGCAACACCGAAAGAAAGCAACGTTGTACAATTATCGTATATTGCCTACTCGTTGTACCGAACCTATCAACAGATATTGTCGTATGGGGGGGAACCCAAATGAATTCACATACATCTTGGCAGTAAAGAGTCCCATCGTGACTGCAGTAAAATCTACACTTGATGAGACACACAGGCCCCTCGTGCTGCCTGGTGCTCATTACACACCGCAGTGTCGACGTTCGCCATAAAAGTAAACCAATGGTTTACCAACATGTCAAAAATTACATCTCCCCAATTGTCTTAAACTACCAAATAAGTGTGATATGCCATCACTAGACTGAATAATTGTACTGCCGTCTTAATCCATTGAGCGGCATGGTGGTACGCATGCCTGTAATCCAGGCTTAGTGGATCAAAGATGTTGGTGAAATTTCGATTTAAAGCTTTCGTGACTGCAGGGATTCATCTTCTTGGTTCTTTCGGTAAAGTCACGTAGAATGGAAATAATAAAATAACAAAATAAAACAGACCTGGTCTTCACCTGAGGACGGCTGCTTGCGTTGTAGCCGAAACGTCGTGAGAATTATTTTATTATGTTTAATTTTGTTATTTTATTATTCCCATTCTACGTGACTTTACCGAAAGAACCAAGATGTTGGTGAAATCCCCAAAACTGCTGGGCCCAGATGGCAGGGATGTGGCAGTACACAGCAGACGTTTTATCAAATGAAGACTGTTTCACAGCTTCGAGGTGAGCACCTTTTATCGGCCATCCGGAATCCCCTCTCCCTTACAACATGATCTCAGATAATAATTCGACTATTGTACACGTAGCAGACCCACTGTGCAAGTCCAGCGACATGCCGCAAAACCACCGCACCGAGACCAGCGACAAAAGCCCGGAGGGTCAACACACACGGAGGGGAACTTCCTCTTCGTCAGGTTATAAAATAAAATACTTCCATAATACCGGACCGTTAAATACTTTCAATACTCTACAGTGTACTTGGCATCATCGTAATCACACCCCCATTCATTACCAAACAATTCTAGTAAAAGTCCGATACAACGCAGTTCGTTAAGCGGACGAGGGTCATGCCCCCCCCCCCCCCCCCGAAAAAACAACAGTGGTCTATCGCTCCCCCCTCTCCACTAGTTGCGGCACAGCATGGCAAATAGCTGTCAACACCCACCACCTGACCTGCCCTCACAATACCCTCCATGGTGGTGCATGCACGGTCGGGAAAACAGACACGGAGACACTCACACAGACACATGGAGCCGGATGCAAAGACACACAGAGACACGGAGAAACACACGTGCGTGTTCCATTGTAACGGGGGGGGGGGGGGGGGCAGTAGCCTAGAACCCGGGTGGCTATTCATGTCCACCCACCTCCCCACCCCGTGTTAAAATCGACCGTTTTGATGTCAGTTTCACGATCTGCAATTTGGCAAATCAACTTGCTTATTCCGATTGCAATATACACGTCACTTAGGTGTGTGAGAATTACTAACTAAGAACCACACTCATTTTAAACAATAAAATTCCCCACAATTGCAGTCAGAGAATTCAAACCAATTAAAATGTTCCCGTGTATCCCAAGTCCAGTGCCGCATACCTGGACCTTACAATGCACAGCCACCGCAGGGCATACAGTCTGATTGTAACAACATGAAATACTCTTCCGTATTAAGAAGAGGAAGTTGCTGAAATTTCAAGGGGTGGCCCATACTGTGTGTGGCATGCAGAACTAGAAAGCTTCTGGGACTCAATGGAATCTGTGTCAATATAATTAAGGATTAATAACTTTTTTAAATATCGAGTAACAGCTGTCTTTAAAAGAAAAAATACAACTTGCAGAATTACGAGCACATGGCTATTACAACCGATCCATTACTAATCGTTTTTAACTCTTACAATTGTACTTTTGAAAGTCTAAACTAGAGAATATTTTTAAGTCCATTTCCATTGGCTGTTTGTGGAAATCATCAGTCCTACCCCAAGTTGACCTTCTCCTGATCCCTGTTCTTAAATATTTGCTCTTTCCCATTGGTCTTAATCAGTTGATTCACCTCAAACAAGTCACCCAACCTATTGTTTGAGTTCCCATAAGTCCAACACATCCCTCCTCGTCTTGGATGAGCGTTAGAGGATTTACATGAAGTGGTGGCTGAAGGTCTCTGGGATCTAGAGTTGTGGGACTAATAGGGTACAGAACCAATCCCAAAAGCAGGCGAGGCTCAAGTAGGACACATTGGCACCCAAAACAGGATAGTGGGTCACTGGATATTCAGGGAAACAAATAATATGAAAACAAATAACAAACATTGTGATGGAGTTGTGGGATTGACAGTCAGCCCCAAAAAAGGACATTGGCACACTGGAATGTGCAAACCTCTGCCAAGCAGATAAGCCAATGCCTGCTAGTTAATAAACGTAAATAAAATAACATGACTATTTATGGAGACAGTTAAACGACATGGAGAGAGGCGAGTGTAAGTTAGGGAGAGGGGATTTACACCCCATGGCAGTAGTTCAACCGTTCTGGGCTTGTCAACCAATACAAATCTGTCCGTGGACCACAGGTTGGGGAAGCACTGTCCTAGATTTCAAGCTTTCGTGACTGCAAGGATTCATATTCTTAGGTTTTTTCGGTAAAGTGACGTAGGTAAAAAATTAAAATTAATAAAAGCAAAATAAAAATAAAATAAAAAATCACGACGTTTCGGGGGCAACACAAGACGTGTGTTGCCTCCGAAACGTCGTGATTTTTATTTTTATTTTACTTTTATTAATTTAAATTTTTTACCTACGTGACTTTACCGAAAAAACCTAAGAATATGCACTGTCCTGTCTCATAAACGTGGTGCCACTGGGCCATGTCACCACTCCAGGATACAGCATTTGGAGCAGGATGGAAGTTCTTGCAAACGTGAGATAAGTCGTTGAATCAGAACCAAAAGCTTCGTGGTAAGGTTGTTTTCGAATTTGTGGGTTAAGCAGGAGAAAAGCTGTTCGGTCTGGTTGTGAAAAATAAAGATATAATGGTGGTAAGTATCTAAAACAACGAGAGTAAGGGAAGGCTAGACATTCAAACGAAAGCATATTTCACCTCTTACGCCACATACAAGCTTTAAAAAAAATATTAAAGTAACCAAAGTATGAATGCTCTGAATGTCCATCATCTTCTTAAATCATAAAAAGCTTGTAAAACACACACATACTAAAAGATACCAATACAGGGTGAAACAGAACGTGGAACCCTTCAAAATATTGTATGCAGCAGTCATTCACGGTTTTATCAGTCAAGAACATCAAGAAATAGAAACATTATCAGAACGTATAGCATGACAGAAGGTGCCAGGCTAAGGTACAAGCTCAGAATGTTTTTTTTTTATCCTAAAAATTACGGTATTATGTAACCTTCATCACAGACAAGATTACCGAGTGTGTTAACCATACAAATAAATCACACATATTTGTCACATTGGACATAAACTACACTTTAACAACTTAAACAAAACACAGCAAAGTGTTTCTCTCCATGTGCAGTGTGCCAGATGGCCAGTTTCTGCAAACCCAACCAAATATCAGCTGATGGCAGTGCGTGCCACCGTCAGTTCCACATAGTGAAGATACGTCTTTGGAAAGCTCTAAAAAAAGTTAGTGGAATTTCATCTACATATAATATTTATCAATTAAAAGATGTTTAAATAATAAAGTTTTATGTACATGGACAAAATTTAAATTATTATGGCTAGGAAAACCTATATGTTAGAATACAAGACAGGGTTTAAAACAAAACAATAGTACATTTTGAACCCTTGAGTAGACAGAGTGGTGAATATTTGAAGGTAGCGTAAGAAAACAGGCTAAGCAGAAACTTACCGTTGAACACCTCGTTAAACTCCCCCGGAGGTGCATGTTTGATGAAGTTGGCCGCAATCCGCACCTGAAACAAAAATATAGCTTCATTAAAAAAAATTCTATTACAAAGCACATGGCAAACACACTATTTAAAAACCAGTAACTTTATAAAACTACAGAGCCGGTCCCCGCTTTTACGACACAATGCATTGCTGGAAAGGCCGTTGTAAATTGGACCCTATTTTTCCATAGACGTTGAAAACATCACTTGCCGTTGATTTTTTCCTTTCATGAGCAATATTTAAAAACGGGGTTTAATGAGTAAAAATCCACAAAAACACTTGAGGATAACAAAAGCTTCATGCCAAGTCACATCGGAAACAAGACTGCCTCTGTTCAATTGTGTTCAGAGTCGTTGTTGCAAGAGTTTTCTTTCCGTCGTAAATCGATCCATATGGTGGCATTATATGAAACTCTTAAATGTGGATCACCACTGTAAAACCGGAGACCACCTGTAACAATTCAACTGCAATGTAAGTCGACAAAACCAGCAACACGAATCATCGAATTCCAAAACACAAGAGGTTGCACGAAAACTTCCCAACATAAAAATGCTCGGCCGTGAATATCTGTGAAGGGGGCGGCGATTTGCGTGGCCATCTTAGAGAAGTGATGCAAGGCTGCATTTCCCTCCCCATGGCAGAGGGGACACAGTTCCAGCAACAGATTCACACGATGTACATTCACGTGGAAAATGAGTTTCATTTGCAAATGTAGGCTTCCAAAAGAAATTGAATATTAAACAGTCGTCTCTCCTCCAATCGGATGCAATTACTTCACTTCAGAATTTTACAAATAGCAATTAAATCAAAAGTTTCTTGTTCTACCCCAACAAAAGGTAAACGTGCCCAGGAATGCAATCCCAGCGGTATTGTGCCTTGTCCTCACAAGAACAAACCTTGCCACAATGCAGTCCCAGCAACATTGTATAATTTTAATGAGCTTACTCATTAATTCTAGATTTGAAGCTTTCGTGACTGCAAGGATTCATACTCTTTGGGGTTTTTTTTTCATAAGCTACAGCAATTTTACTGGAGCAGTTACACCTGATTGCGGAGGCTTGTGTTGCTTCCGAAACGTCGCGAGTTAATTTATTTTAAAAAATTACCTACGTGACTTTACCGGAAAAAAACAAAGAGTATGAGCTTAGTCATACTTTTTAATGATCAACGTGTTTGCCTGCTACTCAATCGCGACTATTAGTTACCTATTCGTATGCCTATTAAACATAGGCGCTCAGAAAACATCTTAAATGAATGTCCTCAACAGGCGTCACAGTGTGAACTAGTGCAGCCTCCAAACCCTTGTCGAATCTGTATCTCTGGCCCCTCTGTTTCTGGGCCATCGCCCAAAACGTCGTCGTAACATTCTAACCTGCCCCTACTGGCCACCTGTGAAAAAATAGCTTTATTGCTCATCGGATTCTTCCTGCAGGATAAATATTCTGATTCTGTAAAAAAAAAAAATAGGGCCACAGCGGTATTGTTTAATGTGTTGAGGTCGGTTTGTTTCACCAAACATGCTGTTACACACACGAAGATGTACTACATCAAAAACAAATGCATTCATTGCGTCACCAAAACGTGCTTAGTTTCCAAGGCATCTGTCATTGTTTGTGAAATAATATTTACTCTGCTTCAAGGCAGCAATCTCTGAAGCATGGTTCTGTATCCCCAGCACTTGAGATATTTACATTTTACAAAAAACACCCTTTACACAATGACTCCTGTTGTACAGCGTGTATGTGTTACTCTCTCGTGTGGCCCAGGGCAGAACGGCACAGCACGTTTTTCGCAGCGTGCCATTCATCACATTTCACTCTGCGCTCGCTTCGCATCATGCGGTAAACTCCACGTTGAAATCCCGTTAAGATTGTGTGACCGGAATCATGTTACACTCTCCCCTGTATTTACACCACTGGTCTTTCAATGTTTGCGTTACAAAAATGCCCTTAGTAGTAGCCTTCTTTTGTCGGTGTTTAATGTAACAAGTGTATCGCGTGTAATGTTAACATTGTTTCTACAGCTGGGGTATTTTGAAAAGTTCCTCGGCTAACGGCAGACTTTAATAAGAAGCCATGAGGCGCAAACTATCAGGCATGCCACCACCGATGACTTCAACATAAACACGCACATTCTGGCGGAACAAGTGGACTCCATTAAGCTACCTGCCCCGAGATGCCGTGGAATGGCTTACAAAATAAATAAAAACACCATTCGAAGCCTGTTGATTTTTTTTGTTTCAAACGACTTACGATTAGACGTTTAGCAACGTCTCAAAAGGGGTTTAAGGGAGAGTCGAGGAGAGCAAGAGACATTGCCCAGTGGGATGGCAGCCACACCCCACACTGTCCCACGAGGAATCTCACCATTCCTGCCAAGCAAGTGGTGACACTCAATCTGCCGAGGTGCAAGCCCCCTACACACTACATCAATGGGGTTCGTAACTTTTACTGCAGCCTTGCACCCCATCTTTTGTTCGCAATCGTAAAAGAAAGCCGTATAATGTTAACAAATACATCGGGGTTTGATGAAAAGAAGTTGTTAAATTTCGATTGAAAGCTTTCGTGACTGCAGGGATTCATCTTCTTGGTTCTTTCGGTAAAGTCACGTAGAAGGGAAATAATAAAATAATAAAAATTAAACATTATAAAATAATTCTCACGACGTTTCGGCCACAACGCAGGTGAAGAACAGGTCTGTCGGAAATATAGTTGTTACTTAGGCGCCTGTGCTCAATTTGTGTTTCGATGGTTTACCTTCTAAAAAAATCTGGCAATGTCTCGCACCCCAGGTAAAAAAACCACTAATCTACATCACTGTTGAACAGTACACAGAGATGAGGAGCTGTTGCCCATAACAGTGAAAGCCCCTCTGAGATGACCCTGTATTTAAGTGCCAGGCAAATGGGAGTCAATCTCCCACAGAAGAGTCATTAAAAATATCGGGTATCGTGAAAAGTACTCGCAAATAAGAGAGCACATACCAAAACACTGCAAAGCGTGCAATGTAAACTAGATTTTTTTTCATTGTGTGCATGTTTTTATCAGTGTAATTGCCTTCCATCGGCACAGCCATTTAAATATACGTACACCAGATACCCAGGGTATTCTCAAATGTTCACCGTTTATAAAATAATTCCACTATATTCGTAACTAAAATAGCTTTCAATTGTAACTCAAAACGGTTGTCATGTCTACAGGTGATAAAGGTTGTAATTATTGTTAATGATGCAGGTAATAATTCACTTCCCCCCTCATTAATTATAATTTGGGGTCCCAACTCATAAAAAAAATACTGTAGTTTGTTTTACCATTGTGGCGTGCGTGGAATCTGAAATGGTTGCAAATATTACATCAACCAGTGTCAGCAGCGAACAACATCACACGTCACCGATGAATGTTTTGTTCATGCAACAATCACTTTAAATCCATGAATCAGAGCATCGTTGCAGGCCTGCTGTTTACGATACCATAATTTAATCGAATGCAAAGTGCATCCGGCATTCTCTGCCCTTCCAATGAACGTCATAAACACACATCATCAAGTCACCAGCAGAATGATTTCCTCTGTGAGAGCCGCTCTCCTCGTGAAATAAAATTCTGCATATTGCACCGCGCATGTTTGCGAACGATGGGGAAACGTTGCAAGTTTGCAAACTTGGAATGATCATGGACTGAAGCGACTTCCCCCTTGAATAGTGTCCAGTCGAACCCCTCTTAACGACGGTAATTGGTTCCACGAAACCGGTCGTTAAGCGAGTACTGGATAGGAAATACACGTGACAGGCTTCATTTGTTCCCATAGCACCGACACTATTTCACCCCAAAAAATACTGTATAATATTTAAACAATAGATATTAATACATTAAGATAATAACATTACAAACACATAATATTTAAAGAATCACGGTTAATCAATGCGTTAATTAATATTTACTGTACCTACAACAGCGCGTAGTTAACAGGGGAATGGTCGGTGAGCGAACACATTGGGCTCTATGGAGACCCGTCTACAATACACTACACTATACACTACACTACTATAGACTAAACTATACACTACACTACTATACACTACACTCTACATTACACTATACACTACACTCTACATTACACTATACACTACACTCTACATTACACTATACACTACACTACTATACACTACACTATACACTACACACTACTTTACACTATACACTACACTATACACTACACCTACTGTACACTACACTATACACTACACTCTACTATAAGCTACACCATACACTACACACTAGGCTCTATGGAGGGCCCGTCATTAAACGACTATTGTTAACAGGGGTGCTCGTTAACAGGAGGTTCTCCTCTACAAGACTGTTCCCCCCCCCCTCCCACTGGACATGATTGTCAAGAAATTATCCGCCAGTCGGTTCGCGTCCTTGCGCCCAGCGCGTCAATAGCGCATAGCGAGTCAAGGCAAAGTTAAAACATTAAAAAATCTTGCTAGGACTCGTTGTTATTCCGGATAGAGTTATTGTCCTTTCTTTCTGTCGCCGTGAAAGCGCGTTTTTTAAAACATCCGCATTGGTGTCCTACTAAAACAAATGTATCTCGAGAATTGCATGGGAGATCAAATGGATCCGTACTCCCCATTCTCCCCATATTCATTTTTTTGAGCAAATACCCTCACACCTTACGCATCATACACCTGCCTTGCAGGCAGCAGCAACCAAAGCCTCCTATATAGAGGCTCTTGCACAGTGTGTGTTTCAGTGGGAGATTACACAGCGTTAATAACACATTCAACTACGCGTTTCTTTCCGTTCACTTGGCATCTGTGTGTTGTGCAAATGTGAAGGGCGAGGGGGGAAACAATGAAAGCCTGTACTGTGCAAGATGCATGCACGTACGATTCGTTTGCAATGAAACACAACAGAGACGATATCCCACCTCTTTATATTTCGATTTAAAGCTTTCGTGACTGCAGGGATTAATCTTCTTGGTTCTTTCGGTAAAGTCACGTTTATATTTTTTTTCATTTAAA